CGGGTGCTGCCGGGGCTGGGCCGGCTCCTTGAGGTGCAGCCTGTCCTTCTCCTCCTTGTCCTTGACGGCGTCCTTCTTCTTGAAGCGCCGCCGCCGGCGCAGGAAGCTGCCGTTCTCGAACATGTTGTAGGAGTCCGGGTCCAGGGTCCAGTAGCTGCCCTTGCCCGGCTTCTTGTCGTCCCGCGGCACCTTGACGAAGCACTCGTTGAGCGAGAGGTTGTGGCGGATGCTGTTCTGCCAGCCCTGCTTGTTGTCCCGGTAGAAGGGGAAGCGCTCCATGATGAACTGGTAGATGCCATTGAGGGTCACCTTCTGCTCCGGCGCCTCCTTGATGGCCATGGCGATGAGGGCGATGTAGCTATAAGGAGGCTTCTGGGGAGGGTCCTGCCTGGAGACCGCGCTGGAGGATGCAAAGCCCAAAGCAGCCGGCAGCCCAGCCCGGTCCGCCCCGTACAGATAGACCATGGAGGAGCCCGCGAGCGGGCTGCTCATGGGACCGAGGTGGCTGCTGAAAATGTGGCTCATCGCGGATGGGGCTTCCAAGGACAAGGGAGAAACCCTCCACGACTCCACCAGGGAGAGATTGGTGTGAGCGCCGACCCTGCCTCAGTCAGTTTGTTCTCCGTCTGTCCCTGCTTCATAGCTCTTTTTTTAAAATGTTAAATAATTGTTGTAAGTTTGCTATTATATGTTGACTTAGCACTGGAAAATAAATTGTCTCCGATAAACAGTCGTTTGTGTTCTCAGCCCACCCACATTAATTAAAATATCCTTGCTACACAATTCCAGGCTCCCTCCACGTGTCTCTCCGGTACCAGCCAATGGTTCCCCGGGTTTTTCCTTCATTTGTTTATAGAATTAGTCTGTTGATAAGTCTGCCCACCCAAGTCGAATCAAGCTGTGTTTATTTGGAAAAATTTCCGGGCACCCAATATATAAACGCACTGATCTGATGTACGGGGCACCGGAAAAACAAATCCACCTTCCCGATCTCCCGATGTCAACTTTTTGGAGCGTTTTCCCCCCCTCTCAGTCTCTGGTTCGGCCGCGGGCGGCTTTGGGAAGCATTGGAAAAACTTCTGAACTTTTGAGCATCCGTCACCAAGGCGAGGACTTTTTTACGCACTTACAGCTTCTTTTTTTTTCTCCTCCTGCAGGGGAGCCCCGCCCCGCCTGGCTCGGGCGCCCAATGAGAAGGGAGAGCTGGGCTCTGAATGGGAGGGGGAGGGGGACTCTGGAAGCAGCTGCAGCCCCAAGAGTTCCAGCTCCGGGACTGGCCACACACACTCACTCACCCACACGCACGTACCTAGCGCTGTCCACACGCGCCACAGCCTTTCTCCCCCTCTCTCCCACAGTAGAGATCACGTTACTAGTCACGCACACGTCACAGACACAGACACACATTCCTGGACATGTCGGGCATGCATACTTCTGTATTTCTGCCCTGGCATTTGCCTCGTCCTGTATGCAGAGGCACTATCTCCGGGGGACACAACTTTTCACATTACCCCTATCTATATGATCCCTCTGCACGCCCTCTCAGCATCTGCTCAAATTTACCTTCTCTAGCCTCTCACACGCCCCTCCTCCCCTTCCTGCACACCTTCATCAGATCCACATGCATACAGACAACTTCCACAGGTATGTACCCGCTCAGAGCTCACATTCTACAAAGGAAGATCGGTGTGTTTCACCCACCCCAATCTTCACACCAGGCAGGATGAAAGAGAGAAAGAGGATGGGAGAAGAGAGAGCGAGCCATTCCACCCTCCTTACAGCCAGCTGCCTGACCAAACGTCCCCATTCTTGTACTTGACAGGCTTTTGACGAGTCCTGCAAAGCTCCCTTTTATTAATCAGTCAGGAAGGGCTTTCCTTTGTCAGTTTGCAAAGAAAGCGGCTGCTGCCTGTGCTGTTTATAAACACAGTCAGATTTCTTTTGACCTGTCTTTAAACGACTTGTTCAGGTAATCTTTACTGACCTGCTGAGGTATGATAGGTGCAGCCCCAGGTTTTGCAGAGCGAGCGAGCGAACAAGAGAGAGAATACGTTTGTCTGAAAGACTGCGGAATCAGTGGCATAACAGGTGTGTTGTGGACAAGAGAAAAATAACTGTGTCCAAAATTGTCCAACGGTTCTTCTCTATACGGACTTAATTTCTGCTAAAGCCAACTCTGTGTAAGTGGCTGAAACAACATTTGTACTGCAAATAATTGTTTGGATTAGCCTTTAAAGGGGACTGAAGAACGAGCTGCGGGAAACAGGACATTTTTTTCTTACCTTTGAAAATCGTTAATGGAAATTAATAGTTTGTTGCGTGTTGGCCCGTGACGGCTGTTAAAGACACCGATTTGACTGAAACCCAAACCTACCTTCCCTTTGTTAGTCTAATGCTCTATACTTCTGCAATCTCCTTGCAGTCAGTAATGGGTGTGAAAGGAACAAGCTGCAGTGCAGACGTTTGAGAGGTGGGTAAAGGCAAAATGGTATTGAGTCCGTGTGTTTTGTGAGGAGCCGAGTTTCACACTCTCCTGGGTCTGTGACAAACTTTCACTCTGAAGATGAGTCACAACAAGACCCTTTTGGCTTCACTGATTTTTAAGCCCCCTTTCTTCACTTTTTACAGTCATTGATTGCTATCGAAACCACAACAGGTAGAAGCGACGTGAAGGTGTTAAGGGGACATGATTTTCTTAGTAGTATTTTAATTCGAGCCTTTTCTCTTGAATAATTAATTAACTGACAAATTTAAAAATGCAATGGAAAAGGGGGAAAAAACAACCCCACCCTGTATTCCAAACTTTCCTCCATTTTATACTCAGACCTAAATGGTCACTGCGTTATTCAGTTTTGCCTGTTGTGTTTGATCTTCTGGAATCCTTTCACCTGCTTCTGTCCAATTCCACATCCCCTGACCCCAAATACTGATGAATTAATCTTCTGGGTGGCACTGAGCTACGCATTAGTTTCGATGTAGTTTGGACATTTTGTGCCTTCAAAATCTCTCACGAGCTTTCCTAGAAAGAATAGCAATATTTTATCGCATATACATAGAATTCAGCTCACCCAGTGTTCCCCACGATTTCACCTGCAGTTTAAACGATTTCGATGCATTTCACATGCATTTCCACTAGCTATTGTACTGCTCTGTTCAAAAAGACTATCTTTCGGTGATTTAACAGAACTTTGTTTACATTCCATGCTCATGGTTCTAACGTGAGATTATGCTTATTTTATTGGGACTATTTAATCTGGAATGTATTGTATCCGATGTTTCAGTATCCACTTTTTTTTTGCATCACTGTGAAGTGAAGTGATGCAATGATTTGTGTGTGTTATATTACACATCTGAAAGCGGCAGCACTGTAGCTCTCTGCTCTAGGTACAAACGTTGCCATTGTGAAAGCAGTAACTGGCACGCGCAGTTTCTGGGGAAAAAAAGCAGTTTTATAGGAGCAGAAAGATCAGTTTTCTGACTAGTTTAATTTTGGATCCAACCCAGGACAAGTAATTTGTGGCTGTGTCTTTCGTACTCAAATGTAGAGACAGGAATGAATTTCAGACGGCTTGTTTATTTGTTATTTATTGTCATACCCACCATGGCCTCTAGAAGAAAGAGTAACATTTTGGGTATGATTTTGGTGTGCGACAGAAACGAAATAGTTTGAGTAAGATTAACAATCGTGTGTATCGTGGAACCAAAATCCCTTTAGGAATTAACTATTCAGCATCCTTTCTAAAGCTGTGCAAAGAGTTGTCAAAACACTGGGGGGAGGGGGGGAGGGCATTTGTTGCGTTTACTCTTAACCCTTTAACTCTAAATAAATGATGAAAAGATAATGTCACAGCAACGCAACGAACGCATCACCTTTAAAAAGGTTAAAGCCAACAGGTGGATCCAAACAATTAGCTCTAGGGTTTCCTCTCCTCTCAAAGACCTAGAGGTGAAATGTTTTTCTGCCTGCGGCTATTTATGTTTATACCTAGTCAGAGCTTTCCCCCCGCCCCTTAGCATCACAGCAGTATCCCTGCAATTTACTCCCCCTTTCTTCCTACCCAATTTCGGCTCCTTGAATCCCAGAACAAGGATTTATGTTTCCTAAATTGCGTGCAGTTCATTTGGGGGAAAGTGTTATTTCCCTTCGGGTGAAAATATGCTGTGGTTGAACAGCTGTGAAAACGTGACCTAACAATAATACCTGTTCAAATCGATCTATATTGCTGCTGAGGATAGATCATTTTCTCTCTGTGTTGTGGTTATTACAAACACATTATTTCTGATCTTTGCACCAAAACAAAACCAAAAAATCTACACAAGAGAACTCCAGAGAAAGTCCGTTTTAATGGCAGACCAAAATTAGTTAACCAAATATAATAATCTTCAGCTAGCATGATTGTTTTATTTCCCATTGTCACTGTGTTGCTAGATAGTCTTTGAACACAGGGAAACTTTTAGTTTTTTAAGTTTTACCATCTGAATTAAATATTGGGGAAAAACTTGCTTACATCATTTGGCTTGTTTTTCCAGTTGAAAAGTGAATTTTCATTTTAGCTTGATAACAGTAAGTGGTGATATATTTAACAAACGGAATAACGTAATGTCATATCTTATATCTACAAAGCATACGCCATTAGCAATCTACAAAGCAAAATGGAGACCATACATGGTTTTGCAAGCGGTACTTGCCATCTCCTCACAATAAGTTGTCTTGGCAAAATATTACATGGTTTTATAAAAAAAAGGTCTGAAAAATAATTTTGCGACTGAATGATGGCATGAATATATCATTCAAACAATATGCCTGTGTGTTCACAGGATTTTTTAAAACATGTTTTAAGTCAAATACTTTAAAAAATGCAAGTGAATAGGGGAAGAAATAGCCCAGTGCGTTTTCCAGCCTTGGCATCTCTAAAGTGCTAATGTCCCCGGGCAGATGAGAAATTACATCTCTCCTAAAAGGATGAGGAATAGTCAGGGCTGAACTTATTTCTCTTCAAGGTCCATCCTCTGTCTCTTTTGTATTCCCTTTCCTTCCTTGCTCACTTCCTTTCCCTGTCTCTCAGAAGCTCTAGGGAGGGGCAGCAAAGGTGGAAGGGGCTGAGTCCAGGGGGGTCTCCCGGATCCCGTAGCTGAGCGCGCACACACACATACACACTGACAAGCAGCGCAGACACACTGGGCAGTCCTGGGAGGAGCACAGCTCCCGCTTTGTGCTGGTGCTCTCCTCCCCCTCTCGCGGCAAGGGAGAGACTCATTTGTTTTCAATGGTTTATTTATGCGAGAACCAAGCGGTGAGGTCCGGGGGTGACGGGTGTTGAGCAAGGCAGTGGATTACCTCCAGTCTCTGGTTCTGTTAGCCAGTGGGTTTACACGCACCAGTCTGCCAGCTAATACTTGGGATATTTTAAAGCCCCTTTGCTTTAGTAAGCCAAGGCAAAGCAGGCTGGTCCCCTCCGTTTTTTGCTGGGGACGTCGCTCCTCACGAGCATCTGCGCATTGGCAACCCGCGGAAGGGAGGCTGCCACTCCTAGAGGATTAGTCACGGCGACCAGCGTCTCAGACAGTAAACCGAGGTGGAGGCAGATGTGAGCGCCTCCCAGACGGACACCCGGAGTCTCTGCCCTGGGTGTGCCTTTCCTGTGCCTGCTTCAAGCGGTTCCTGCGTATTCACCCCTCCGGATCCAGCAGCTTCGTTACACGCGTCCAGTTCCCGTTGGGGTCCCACCTCTTTCCCCAGAAGCGCGCAGGGCGCACATCTCCCCTCCCGTGGGCGCTGAGGTCCGGTTTCCTGCAGGCGGCTCGGGGCTGGACTTGCTGGGAGTCCCTGGGGTTCCCGAGAGGTCGCGCGGCCCTTTGTTATTGGCAGGGGGGGGCGCCCCCGGCCGGCGGGGCGCGGGGGGTCGATGCGTGCCTCGAGGCCCAGGGCGCCGTCACCCTGCCTCCATCT